TTTATTTTATAAATTAATATGAGATTTTTCTTTTTTATAGTCTACATATTGTTCTGCTATCCAACAACATGCAGTAAATGAAGGAAAAGTAATAGAGGTAGTAAATTTAGACCCAGCAGCAGAATATTTCAATTATGAACCTCTAGTAGATATAAGAGAATTAATTCAGTTAGATGATGCTATGGAAGATGATGAATTACATTTTGGACCTAATGGTGGTCTTGTATTCTGTATGGAGTAAGTTTATGTGATAATTTCTGCTACATACATAAAAATTATAGCAAAATTTATATTTATTTAGAAATTTTATGTATAGGTACTTGTTAGAAAACTCATTGTGGTTAGAGGAGAAGTTAGGCGATGTGGATGATGATTACATTATTTTTGACTGTCCAGGTCAAATAGAACTATATACACATATGACAGTTATTCGTCAATTAATAACAATATTACAAAATCTCAATTTTCGTATATGTGGAATATTTTTAGTAGACAGCCAATTCATGGTTGATGGGTCAAAATTTTTGTCAGGCACAATGGCTGCACTCAGTGTAATGATCAATTTAGAACTACCACATATTAATATTCTTAGTAAAATGGATTTATTGTCAAAAAATGCAAGAAAGCAATTAGACAAGTTTTTAGAACCTGATCCACATAGTTTATTGGCAGACATGGAAAAAGATTCTTGGAATGAGAAATACAGGAATCTAACTGAAGCTATAGGAAAGCTTATAGAGGATTATAGCTTAGTACGTTTTTATCCACTAAATATAAAAGATGAAGAAAGCATTGCAGATATTAAACTGACAATTGACAATATTATTCAATATGGAGAGGATGCTGATGTTAGGGTTAGAGATTTTGATGAACCCGTCGAGGATGATAAAGATGAAAATTATGATGTAAAATCATGAAAGCAGTTTTACTGAATAAAATATTTTTATGAAACATTCTTTAAAAATTTACTTTTTAATACTGATAAAATGGAATTAAGATAAAATAAAGTTTGTTTAATTAATTTAATTACTGTTGGCTTATGAAAATATCTGTACATGAAAGTGATGGAATATTTACACTATAAAGTTTTATCGTTCTAAGTGTGCATTTATCGTATTAAATATAAACATTAGACATCCAAATGCTAAAGTTGATCCATGAGCAACAATAGCACTTCCTTCCCACCCTTCTTCTAAGTGGTCTTTATTTCTTGTTTCATATTTTGTTAAATTACATTTACATGATACTCTTTTTTTCTCTGTTTGTTTTTGAAACAAAACTTTTTCTTTTATAATAGCTTTTACTGCTTCTGTTGTTTCTTGTTCTTTATTTATCAACTGCATTTTATCATCAGTCTCTTCTTTGACTTGTTCTCCTATTACTCCTGTATAGTTACAAGAATAAAGTACATTATCAACCACTGTTCCATATTCACTGTAATTTAATAATTCATAACGTTTGGTACTCTATAAACAAAAGAGTATGATTAAAATAATATTATATTTCATAACATTTAACAAAACAAAAATTGTGTTAATTTTTATTTATCATTACCTCATCAAAGAAAATAATAGCATGTTTTGAGGATGTAAAGCTGCAATTACCATAATTAGATAACACTAGATCACAGTTTGGGCCACTTCCAATAGTTAGTGTTTTATGAATCATAAAGGTTGGTGGTTTAGGTTTGTGATTTAAAGAAAACAATGCTGCCCTGGCCGTCGTTTCAAAATTAATTGTATTATAATTTTCTCCACTTGGATTTAATATTTGTTCTAATCGTTGTAGTGCTAATGCTTCCAAAACTGGTCTTTCAAGTAATTGTACACCTTCTTTGACATCATAACCAAACTGCTCTATATAGTACTGGGTACTATTATCATCATTGCATCTACTTTCTTTTATATTTTCTTGTTCTCTTTTTCCTTCATGTTTAGTGCTATTTTTCTCTTCTTGATTACTTTCCTCCTTTATTTCACTGTCTCTTTCTTCAATCTCTTTTTCTACTTCCATTGGTTCTTCTATTTTTTCTATTTCCGTATTTTCTTCCTTAAGATGTTTGTTATCATTATTTTCTATATCCTGTATTTTAGTATTTTCTATCACTGGTCTTATGACAGCATCATGATAAAAACGTATAGGATCTAATTCTGGTGGATGTTCATAGTGAAATTTTACAGAACAGGGTACCTTTATCCTTGTTCGACCTTCTAATTTCACTTTTGTACGAAATAGAGGGTTTGTTGCACGTGCTTTACGTAAAAAATCCAATTTCACCGCATGTTGATCTATACGTTGATTGGCATATTTGTCCCAAAGTTTAATACGTTCCGT